TCTTTAAGCTAATCCGTTTATCAGTACAAGAAAATATCTACAAATCCCTGAGCTTTAAAAGTGAACACTTTAGAGATGGTTGAACTGTAAAAAAACGTAGACATATATTTGATTGCTGGAGCAGTGAAGCGACTGAACAAGCATTATAGCTCTCAAACGGTGAATCTGAGCAATCAAACTTAATTTTCTGGCTGCTTTACTGGCCTAAAACCTACATGAACCGTGTCGATGTGGTTCAGATGCGCAGACTGGGATTGAAGAGACGCTGAGCTTTCAGATGGGAGGGTGAGAGGTAGCAGGGTAGCACACTGCAAGAAATTGAAATTTAAGTGTTTTTTTCTTTTAAAAAAAAGCTTTTTTTATTGCGTAGGTAAGTGAGACACTTTGCCAATGGAACAAGACAATTTATATGTAAAATAAGAAAAAAAAATATTTGCATTGTCTTATTCCAAGTGTATATTTTCTAAATATCTTATTATAAGAGTAAGAATTGTCATTCTATTGGCAAATCATCTTATTTTCCAGCTCAAATTAAGGGTAAATACGTTTAACTGAACACATTTTTACTTATTTCTAGATCGTTTTCGTAGTGCAGATCAAAGACAAACAACTTTGAGAAATCTGTCTGGATGTTGTTCTGTCATGTTCAAGCTTGCAAATTATTTTATGCTGTAAATACTTGTAAGAATTATTCCAGATTAAATGAAGTTATTTCTTCTTCCCCGACTTTAAACAACAGGTAGGAAAAACACGCAGCTCTCTCAATAAAGCAGAGAGCATGAGAGGAACTGTGTGTTTCCTCTTTGCTCCAGCAGGCAGAAGACGGACAGCAGACTTATTGGATTTGGTCGTACACTCGCTCTCACTTCCAGTACATTTGTTTCATGCGAGATCCGTTCCTACTCAAGGTTGAGGCTGAAGTATTGATGCTCTGTATGGATCGCAGCGTGCAGCTGTGGTGTGTTTGATGTATTTCACTGTATCTGTCAGCCTCATCAAGCGGCCCTCTCTGCAGCCTCCCATCGATCCCTTCCATCACGCCGTCATTAAGCGGCGGATGACATAATTGCCTTTTGTAGCCGCCGCGGTGCTGCAGGTCGGTGGGGACTGAGCGTGCTCTAATTCTGAGCCTGATAATTAAACAGGCTTTTCATCCGGTTGGTCCTGTTTCTCAGGTGGACGTGCTGCGACCCGGTCCATCCCAGCGTTAGACTGTAAGATCATTCCCTCCTAAATATGCAATGATTCAGGGATCAAAACGCATCTGGACTTTATTTGCATAGCTCAGGCCCGCCATGACTCCTCTTCTAGTTGCTGCCCACGAGGAAGTTCACTCTGATCCAGCTCTGCGCTCATTAAAATGCATCGCCTCCCAATTATTTCCATCAATATAGGGATACCTGGGCTGACTAAAACTTTGAAACTAACTGAGTAAAAAACAGCAGATCCTAAAAAACAAACAACATGAAGAGCAGCACATAAATTATCGGATTATCAGGAGATCCTTGAAGCGGTTTCCTTCATGCAAAACAAATAGAAGACAAAAATAGAGCAATGAGAAAGAAAAACCACTGTTCAGTTTTAGAAATTTTAATTTAAGAAGATATATTTTAGTAAAGTTTGTTGCATCTGTTTTTGGTTCAAACCTCTAAATTCAAAAAGTTAAATTAAAGACTAAAGGATTATGCTTTCAAAGAGAAACGTTTGAGGCTCATTTGCCTAATTTTCAATATTCACATGACCTGAAATAATCTTGTTAGTCTGGTTTCATCATCTGAGGAATCGTGTAACTGATGTTTCCAGTGGAGATCAGACAGAAATTTAAAAGGTTCAGAGGTGCTTTTACTAAAATATGCCACAAGGAAATCTGGATTCAGAGTGGGAGAGAGAAAAAAAGAAGGAAAGAGAAAATTAGGAACGACAGAAAACACAGAAAATGGAAGGAAAATAATTAATATGTAGAAAGATGGCAGACGGATCACAGAAGGAATTAAAAGACTGATTGATTGAAAAAAAATTCTTCAAAAAATGACAGACTGATGAAAAGAAAGACTACAGATGAAACATAACCGAGAGAAAGACTAAGAGGGACAGAATAAAGAAAGACGACAGTTGGAAAAATAGACTAACGGAAGAAAATACAAAAGAACGGCTAATGGAAGGAAGATGGACTGAAAAAAAGAGCGATGGAGGAAAAACAAGAGAAACTGACAGAATAGAGACTGATGGTAAAAATGATAGAATGAACAGAATGATAAAGACAAGACGACATGAAGACGGCTCTAAGATGCCGAAAGAAAACCAAAAAAGATGTTTTTAAAAACACAATAAAGTGATAAGTCTGAAAAGGTGAGTTTGAACCACAGATCCTGCTTCATACCTGAGAATCCTGAAGAAGAATGTCAGACCATCAGTTGATATTTAAACAGCAACATCTAGAAAAAAAGGCCTAATCAAAGTAGGAACTTAGAGCATCAGAGAACATGATTTGCGTTTTAGATTTAATCAGGACACTGAGTAGAGCTTTAACAATACATCCATTAAATGATTAACCAGCCAGTTAGAAGGATAGTTATGATCTTATGAAGATAGTGATGTTACATCATTATCTTTAAGATGCGCCTTTATTTTGAAATTCAGAACCATGCAATTAGATTTTATTTATTTATTTTTATTTATTTATTCATTTGACAGGGACAATGCTCTAGAATAAGCCAAAAGGCTATTTTTCATCTGTTTTCCCAGCATAGATCTTAAAATTGTCTTCCTAAAAACACAACGGTAAGAATTTTACAATGAAAAATACAAATATAAAAAGATATAAAAACAACTACTGCTTCAAAACTTGTTTAAAATACAGAATGAACGTTCAATAGACGATGGATTTTAGATTAATAAAAGAGAATGAAATATTCCAATAAAATAACATGGTGAACAGGTTATTACCATTGATATTATTATTAGAATTAAAATAATGCTGTTTGTAATGAAATGTAGATAAACAGATGATACTGCACCATATGACAGACATTTATTGTTAAAATCCATCCATCCATTTTCCATTACGCTTTTCCTAAGGGGGTCACGAGGGGTGCTGGTGCCTATCTCCAGCTGTCTACGGGCGAGATGCAGGGTAAACCCTGGACAGGTGGCCAATCCATCGCAGGGCAACACAGAGACAAACAGGACAAACAACCATTCACTCACACCTAAGGAGATTTTAGAGAAGCCAATTAACCTAACAGCCATGATCTAAACATATCAGTTTTATGTATTTTCATTTTTTAAATTGTAGGGAAGTCATATTTAATGTATTCTTTATCAGACCATATTGTCTCAAAAGTTAGAAAAGTCCTGTCCTAAAATCTGTGTTTTTTTACGTTATTTTATGCAGGCCAGTTAGTTATACGTCAGCTTGAACACCTAAATTCGGCCAATCATATATCAAAGGTCATCTGTCAATCAAATTTTTTCAGTCATAGCATCTTGATTCATATGTCGCGGCTAATATACACAACAGTTGAAATCAGAATCCTTTCCTTTCCCATTGAGTTCCGTCCCAGTGTTCATGGGGATGGACGTCTGTGTCTTCAGCAGGTGTAGAGCTAACAGAACTGGCAGCGTTGCGAGGCAAGGGCTCAAACATGTACGGCTGGAAGCCTTCTACACCAAACCAAGCTTCTGCCGCCCTGGCGTCCTCTTCCACAACATCTTCATCACGCTTTCCTCCTCTAAATAAAAAATGTATGAAGGAGGAGACTCATCCACGACTTTCGACACAAAACTCTCCTCCTCTTGCATGTTTCGTCTGTCCATAGCGTTCCTTGACAGTGGCGTTTCTAAGTCACCAATTTAGTGCTACTTGGTCCCAATGGAATTTCCCATTGGGAACCTACTAGCACTAAGTTGCTAACTGATTAGCAAGATGCTTCAGAGACACTGGCCACAATCAAACTTTCTTTCGAACCTTCCGCCACAACAATCCCGCCCCCTTGATAAACGACCAATCACATTCACTTTATTCACTCGTGTAAAGTCGGGCACCGATCGGGAGAATTCGGAAATGCAACGGTTGGAACAGCCGCTTCCTACGACTTTAAGGGTTTGATGCACTCAATAATGCAATATCACAGTGTTGACAAACATTCAGGCCTCCTGTCTCCTAAAACAAACAAATAAGGAACTGATCATTTTTCTTTAGATGTAAATCAGTAATAATTGGATATTCTAATTGATTTAAGTTAGGTTCTTGCACTTATTTTGAGACATTTCAACATCTGAACTGTTTTCTTTTGTCCACTTTTAATCAGAGAACAAAATGAGATTCCTGCACTTCATTTCATATTTTATCACACTGATGCTCTCCGAGTCTGGCTGTCCTCTGACGGAGCGCTAATCTGTCGCACTGATCTCTTCATTTAAAGACGAAACACACCAAAAGGAACAGATGTCACCCTAGGAAGATCAAACCGCAGCGCTGATTGATTGTTACAGAGCCGCAGAGCGCCGAGGATCAGGAAATCAAGCTGAAAAGCATCTTAAGGAGTCGACAGAAGAAAAGTTATCTTGTTTTTTTCTTTTGTTTCTGCTCAGTTCAAATTAACCAGATTTGGAGTCTTAAAACTACTGACATAAATCCTTTCCTTTTTTAAATGAAGGCAGCTTGTTATCTTCATGTGTAGTTTTTTTTCCCCCTCCCTCACTGAAAGGCAACATGAGTCACATCAGCAGTTATTGGATCTCCTGGAAGCTGGGCTCTTTGTGTCCATCAGCGGTCTTGTTAGTGTCTCTGAAGACACTAAGACCCCCTCAGATGAGGCCGTTAGGTGATCTAAGAGACACATTTAATGAATAAAAAATAACCTTAAAGTAAATGTGCTTGGATTAGTGCTTAACAGCAGAACGTGATGCTGAATATAGAATAAAAGCTTCGACCTCAACACTAATCAACCCACCAGAGCTTACTGTCTATTAACGACTGTCGTCTTCTCCTGTTTCAGCCTCTGGATTACGAGAAGAAGCGGCAGTACAGCCTCCGGATACAGGTGGAAAACGTCCACATCAACCCTCGCTTCTACTCCATGGGCCCCTTCAGGGACGAAGCCAGCGTGAAGATCGTGGTGGAGGACGTGGACGAGCCGCCGGTGTTCGAGCGGCCCACCTACATCATGGAGGTCAGGGAGGACGCGGCGAGGAACACCATCATCGGCTCGGTCAGCGCGTCGGATCCCGACGACAAACACAGCCTAGTCAGGTAACCGCACCCCCATCCCTGTCACATTACTTCACTGGGTACTCACACATCTTCCATGTAAAGTCTTAAGGTGCAAATAGCTGATCTATTGAATATGTCTGCAGAGATCAGACTGTGAACATAAAGGCAGGAAAAAACACAGAGATGGATGGAAACATCTAGACGCTTGGAAAAGGAATGCAATTTGTTGTGTATCATATTTTTCTCACATCAAATAAAACACCTAATGATGTATCATGGGGCTCTGGGGTATGATACATCATGATAAAGGAAAATGGTCAACTTTTTTCAACACCAGAATGAAATCAGACTCCTTCCAGTTCTGCAAAATACTAAGTTAAATTCCTTCAAGTTATAGTGGAGGATTTTGGAGAATTTTTGAAAAGATCCGCCCTCTCCATTTTAAATAAATACAATAAAACAATAAAATGCACAGGCAAAACCCTGTACCCTCTCCCAAGAAGGAACGCCTATTAAGCACGTGCGAGAGCGTGCACAAGCTTATTTCTCCTCGTGCACGCTCTGTTTAAAAGTCACCGTTTGCATCACTCATCCAAGCTTACTTTCCAAAAGAAGATTTGCAATTTTTCCACTATCTGAGACTCACCAAGGGTAGGTGCAAATGAGGATGAGAACGTAGAATTTAATTACGTAAACACATCACCAGAATGATTGACACTTATTTTGATGAAAATAAGTTTAACTTTTTTTTGTTATCCTGGAAATTCATTTAAATGAACATTTTTCCAACATGTGTAGAAAGAAAACTGAAATCAACTGTGAAAACACTTCAAGTGATTTCAACCCTCCTTTGATCTAACTGAACACTTCAAACTGATCCCGTACTTTCCCAGGTTTTGCAGAAACTCTTGTGCAGATTATCTATAAAGGTCATCCTCCTTGAAAAAAAAGTATTGCTGGTTTGAAGCTGGATTTAATCCCTGGAAGTGAAACCGGTCGGCTTTGCTGTGAAGAATCACACCTTACCTGCTTCCTCCTTTGAGCTGCAGAAAAATCGACTGTTTAACTTTTGATATAATTCCATAAACTAAGGCTACTTTTTCCACTAAATGAAGAAAAAGGAACTAAAATGTTATTTAAAATAAACTTGCTGGAGGTTTCATGTCTGTTGTCACTGAATATAAACTAAGTAATATTTATTTTAAATGTAAGGAAAAGACAAAAGGTCTGTGAATGATGATAAATATTTATTAGATCACTAAAAGCAGCCGTGTAAGCCGGTTTAGTTACTGCATTAGAAGCAGGTCCAGGATTCCCTCAGTTCATGCAGATCCATAATTATCAGAGTGACTCCAATAAAAGGCAGCGGTGGCAGCAAGGTGTGAGGCGGCACCTCCTCTCCGTCGCAGCCTTTTTCATTTTTACGACGCACTGAGGGAGTTGGCTCTCAAGGTTGAAGTTCCAGCGCTTTACTGCAGGTGTCAAATACGATATCATTCTCTTTTATCGCCCGTCATCAGCGACGGAGCTTCCCGGTGGCATTTAACGCCGCGCCGTGGAGGAGGGGTGGGAAGCCTGGAGGCTCCCTGGGATCAGGAAGTTTCTAGATTTATTTCCTGGCAGTGACACACGCAGACACCTGCACACCTTAACACCAACGCTGAAGATGAGGAGGCACGTCTTTAACACGTTAGAAGGAGCTGAGCTGCAGTTTGTTGCTGAGGTGTTAAAAATTCAGTCGTCGTCGTTTGACTGTGATGGAAACTGATTAATTGCTCAGGCCTTTAAAATATGTTTGGAGGACACTGTCCTCGTTAAAAGTTTAGGCTTTGGTTCTGTGCGTGTTCCAGCCGGACCGACTGAGATGTGACAGAAGAACTCTTTAAATAAGGAGAATTTTACCATTAAAATCTGCTGTTGGCAAATAAAACCTGTATATGAGGCTGAGTTAAAGATGACCTACCTGAACATGATTTAACATCCTCCAAACTGGTGATTTATCTCCTCTACTCTGTGTCTGAGGCTTGGTGAGCAGCTGGAGGAATCTGCATAGAATGTCAGTTTTAGTAAAACCAGGATCTTTCGATCTTTGCTTTTGGAGATGATGGCTGTGTCCGAATGTACGCTCTAATCTCTGTATAGCGCACTATATAGGGGTTACGGCATTTTAAATGAGTGTCTGAACCTTTAGTGGGTGAAAAATTAGTGAACTCGAAATTTCCCACAATGCACCTTGAAAAGTTCTGATTATACATAGTCATTAGACGAGCAGCTATATCCCAGAATGCTTTGTGAGGAGAGCTGTCCTCCCACCCGACAGCTGAGACTAATAACAAAGTTGGTGCAGGCTCCGTGCGGTGGAGGTGGAGTTACATGACCAACAGGGAACGAAAAGTAGTGATCATCTATCCGAACAGTAAGTTAACTGAGTTCACTATAAAGTCCACTATATAGCCCCGCTATATATACTGTAATAGCCATTCAAAACTTCCCCACTGTCCTTGATGGGTCCTTGGCTGGTCCTCTACAATTCCTTTATAAACATCAATATTTATACTAAAATATTCTTTCTGTTATGATTTGTGGACATTAAGATCTAAAGAGTAGCGCCATCTGATGGACAGACCCTGTAATACAGTGAAAGGGTGGAGTCAGAGTAAAAATATATGCAAGAGGGGGTCACTGCAGTGGCTACAAGTTGGAGGGGATTTTGCTTTTTTCTTTAAATGGCCGTTTTGAATGGCTGCTACTGTAGTGATTGAGGGATTTAGGTGTTAGGGCGGACATTCGGACAAAGTCGACGTATTTTTCCTCTTTAGGGTTTGTAGCGTTTTATTTTCCCTGCACAGTACCCCTGGTAGACTCTAGGTGGCAGTATAGGGCACTACATCACACTGGATGTAGAGTTGAACGCAACATCTTTAAACCCTCTTTGTATCGTCTATTAGTAACACCCATTTCTTTCCAACTTTTTTTTTCACAATCTGATGATTGTGGTAATATTTTTGTTTACCAATCCTCAGCATGATATTGTGAGCACAACTATTTGCAAAGTTTCAAACTTTCCTAGGTGTTCGATAAAAATCCAGGCCCGGTGGAAGCTGCATGGATGGGCGCGGACACTGGGGAGGGATTTGAACGAACAACAACACCAGCAGGGATGAAGTTGATCAATTTTTCCCTGCTCCAACTGGTGTGATTGTAAAGTTTTAAAAAAATCACACCTGTAACACTCAGTGTATCACATATCATATTGTCTCAGGAGTTAGATGTGTCAGTTCTCTACTTTAAGCTGTTAGATTGGTTTGTCAGAACAAATCCCCTGACCAATTTAGTGACTTCTTTTCCACACAGTTTATATTTTAAACTGGTTTATTTATTTATTTTTTTTTCCGAAATGTGATAATTGGAACCACCAAACACCTATCCATCCATCTTCCTCCGTTTACTCCATCAGGGTTGCGGTGGGGCTGGTGCCTATGTCTGGCAGTCTATGGGCGAGAGGCAGGGTACACCCTGGACAGGTCGCTAGTCTGTCCCAGTGCAACACAGAGAGATTCGTGCATGCACTCACACCTAAGGACAATTAAGAGAAGCCAATTAACCTAACAGTCATGTTGTTGGACTGTGGGAGGAAGCTGGAGTACCCGGAGACAACCCACGCATGCACGTGAAGAACATGCAAACTCCATGCCGAAAGACCCCGGATTGGGAATCACACCTGGAACCTTCTTGCTGCAAGGCAGCAGTGCTACACACTGCACCACCGTGCAGCCTCATTTAACAGACATCAAAGCATATTTGAACTTGCATGTTTCCAATAAAGCGAAATGTCCCAAGAACATCCTGAACATGGAGGGAAACTCTGGTTTAGATAAAACAAAAACATGAAGAACAGAGAAACAACAGATGGCCAGTATCAGAAATACATTTCCTGAAGCTTTTAACACAGGATGATTGTTTTTTTTTCCTCTAACATTTATGTGAAATCAGGCTCCCAAACACCAAAATAACCCATCCTTAGATTCCCTGTTTTTATTTTCCCCCTTTCTAATTATATTTAAATGCTTCACTTGGATCACTGTTTTTCCTATAGCTCCCTCATGGCGTCCATCAGAGATCGGACTCTATTTGAGCATAATGTCAGTGATCCAGTGAAGCTTTGCTCTTCTTCAGGGTTGCATAGAATAAAGGAAAACTGTTTTATTCAGATATTAAGCATGTAACCTAATGTCTGATATCTAAAGTAAAATATCCACCTGGTTTAGACTAATTGGCTGTAAGTGTGAGATCATGCACTGGAAAAAAAATCGAAATCTATTTAAGTCATTTTTTCTTAAACTAAGTGCATTTCTTCTTGGATTGAGGAGGTAAAAGAAACATTTTGCCAATGGTAAAAGATAATTTACACTTAAAATAAGAACACACAATTGCATTGTCTTATTTCAAGTGAATATTATCTAAGTATCTCATTTACCTACTGGATTTAAGGGGAAATACACTTTTTTTTTTTTACATTTTTACTTATTTCTGGAACATTTTTTTAGTTTGGGATTTTTCCAGCCCATGCCTGGCCCCTCAGAGTCTATACGTATCAAGACATCTGAGCTCAGAACTGTTTACAGAACCTTTCTAGAAACCGTCAGTCTGTGTTGAAGGGATGACCAACACAAAATTACGTTAAAAAGTTAAACCTTTACTTTGCCTGAAGGACTTAGAGAAGGCTATGCATGATTCTAATAGCTCTCGCATAGACTATTATAATGCACTTTAAAGTAGTCGCCATTCAAAATGTCCCCACTTTCCTTGATGGGCCCTTGGATGGTCCCCTACAATTCTTTTTTAAACATCAATCTTTGTACTAAAATATTCTTTCCGTCACGATTTGTGGACATTAAGATCTAAAGAGAAGCTTAATTTCCTTATCAGACCTTGTAATTCAGTGAAAGAGTGGAGTCTGAGTAAAAAAATATGCAAGAGGGGGTCACTCCAGTGGCTGGAAGTTGGAGGGGATTTGGCTGGGAGTTGTAGGGAAATGG